GGCCTTGCACATAGAAGACAAAGATTTAATCCCGAGCAACCCAGATAGTTGCCTGAGCACAGAGTCAGGAGCAAGACCTGAGAACCACTGGGTATGCCCCCTAAACAACACCCCCCCCCCCCGCCAAAAATAAAGTTTGAAAAGGAAGGTAGGGTTTGTACTGAAATTTAATTATAAGAAACAGGGATTTTACCATCCATTGTAATCGAAGGAAAACAGAGATTGAGAATGTGGGGGTAGACTGGTTTATGGAACTGCTGACTGGAAGAAAGGAGTTTTTCATGATAACTTTGTGTTGGTGAACAGTGAATTGAGTGTGCCTATTGAGGGTAGTTATATATTTGTAAGCATCCAGGTGAACCACTGTGTGTGACTGAGTCTGAGAACAGGTGATGATGGATGGCCTAGGGAGTAGCATTTTATAGCCACAAAAAGATGGGATGTGATGGATTAGTTCTGGTCAAATCTTGGATCAGGTCAGAGATAATCTGTTCAACCATGGTCCAGAATAGAGAAGTTTCTGACTTGCTATGATTTGATTCAGGATTTTTAAACTTTATAGTGGTATGAGAGTAATACACATTTAATAGAAAGTGTACTTTGAATTTTGATAGGGCTAGCAATATGGGAATATGATACTCTTGCCTTGCTAGCTTCCAGTCAGCTTGTGATCACAGCTGATATTCCACAGTATGTGTGTGTTGTTGTATGTGTTTTTGTATCCCATCCATGCCTGTTTTTCATTTAGTCTATCATTCAATAAATCACATGAAATATTCACTACCCTATAAAAGGTTCGGTGTTAGATGGCCTTGCTGGCCTGGGTATATCTCTCAAAGGATTAGGCATATACTTTATATGTGAAAAGACCAGATCCTGGACCTGGCATGGTCTGGGTCCCTTGTGTGGCTTCAAAACAAACAAATAAACAAACAAACAAAAAATAGTCTCTCTAGGGCCAGAGAGGTAATACAGTGGGCAGAGCACTAGCGTTGCATGCTGCTGACCTGGGTTCAAGCTCTGCCACCACATGTGGTCTCAACCCCTCACCCCCACCCATCCAAGCCTACCAGGAGTGATCCCTGAGCTCAGAGCCAGGAGTAAGATCTGAGCACCACCAGGTTTGGCCCAAAAACATCCCCCCCCCGCCCAAATAGGCTTGCTAATATAAATTTTCTGAACACATTTAAGATAACTAGACTACGTTTAAGTTACTGTGTTTTAGGTTAAGGGCATTAAATGCTTTTGACTTGCATTTTAAACAGTTAGGGCTGGAGCGATAGCACAGCGGGTAGGGCGTTTGCCTCACAAGCGGCCAACATGGCCGACCCAAGTTCGATTCCTCCGCCCCTCTCGGAGAGCCCGGCAAGCTACCGAGAGTATTCGATATGCCAGACACAGTAACAACAAAGTCTCCAATGGAGACGTTACTGGGCCCGCTCGAGCAAATCGACGATCAACGGGAGGGCCTTTACCTTTAAACAGTTGAATCACTGTGAGATACACAGTCGCAAAGTTGTTCATGATTGGGTTTCAGTTATACAATGTTCCAACACCCAACCCTTCACCAGTGTACCTTTCCCAGCACCAGTGCCCCCAGGTTCCTTCCCATCACCCTGAACCCCACCCCCAGCTTGCTGCCTCTATAGCAGGCACTTTCTCTCTCTCTCTCTCTCTCTCTCTCTCTGTCTCTCTCTCTCCTTTTAGGCATTGTGTTTTTCAGTACAGATACTGAAAGGGTATCATGTATATCACTTTACCTTGTGTCAGTACTCACTTCTTGTCCAGAGTGATCATTTTCCACTATCATTGTCATAGTGGTCCCTTCTCTGTCCTAACTGCACTCTCCTACCGCTCATCCTCCACTTGAGCAAGCTTCCTGCCATGGACCAGTCCTCCTGGCCCTTGTTTTTGCTGTCATTGCGTATTAGTTTATACTGTTTTTATATCCTGCAAATGTATGCAATCATTCAGTCATTCTATGTTTGTTCCTCTCCCTCTGATTCATTTCATTCAGCATGATACTCTCCATGTCTATCTATGTATAAGTAAATTTTATGACTGCATTTTTCCTGGCAGTTGAGTAGTATTCCATTGTGTAGATTCACCATAGTTTCTTTATCTAGTCGTCTGTTCTCGAGCACTTGCATTGTTTCCAGATTCTGGCTATTGTGAATAGTATTGTAATGTATGGGGCTGGAGCAATAGCACAGTGGGTAAGACATTTGCCTTGCCTGAGGCCGACATGGCCAACCAGAGTTCGATTTCTCCGCCCCTCTCAGAGAGCCTGACAAGCTACCCATGATGTATTTGATATGCCAAACACAGTAACAAGTCTCACAATGTTACTGGGCCCACTCGAGCAAATCAATGAATAATGGGAGTACAGTGACAATGAGAGTGAGTACAATGAACAAAGGAGTGCAGATGGCATTTTTGCTGTGTGTTTTTGGGTCCCTAGGTATATTCTCAAGAGCAGTTTGTTGGGTCATAGAGAAGCTCAATACTATTATTTTTGTTTTTGAGAAATGCCCATATTGTTTTCCAAAATGGTTGAATCAGTTGGCATTTGCACCGGCAACGAATGAGAGTCTGTTCCTCCCCACATCCCTGCCTGCACTAATTGTTCTTGTTCTTTTTGATGTGTGCCAGTCTCTGTGGTGTGAAATGATATTTCATTATTGTTTGATTTGCATCTCTTTAAGATTGGTGATGTAGAGCATTTTTTGATGTGCCTTTTTGTCATTCTGTTTCTTTGAAGAAGGTTCTGTTCAATTTTTTCTCCCATTTTTGCCATTTTTTAATTTTTATTTTTTTATAAATTTATTTATTGAATCACCGTGAGAGCAGTTACAAAGCTTTTGGATTTAAGTCTCGGTCATACAATGATGAAACACCCCTCCCTTTACCAGTGCATATTTTCCACCACCAAAAACCCCAGTATACCTCCCACCCCACACCCTCCTCCTACCTGCGTGGCAGATGATTTCTACATTACTCTGTCTGCTTTTATTACATTCAATATTTCGACACCAGACCCACCATTATTATTTGGGATTTATCCCAAAACTCAGATCTGCCAAAAAGGCAACATTAGACAATTTGTTTTCTGTTGCTGATTATGAATAGCATATGATGTCTGTGGCCGCACGATTTTGGAATTCTGAAATTTTGATAATTAAATCTGGATGGATTTAATTTTAATTTAAAAGCCACTGGGTTCTGAGATTTGTTTCTGAGTCTCTGGGATTGTGGCCGTTAAGCAGCTTGATCAGCAGGAGCCAGAGAGGCTGTTTGTGGGCGGTAACTCAGGATCTCAGTGGGGTAGGCTTTTCCTCCTAGTTTTGGATGGGAGTTTTTTTTCTTTTAAAGTCTATCAGGGCTTTATATATATTTGATATTAACCCCTATCGTATGGGATTTGCACTATTTTCAACTTAAGACAGGCATGTAGCCCCCTCCTCAGTGTGGAAGAGATGTTCTTTTTATTTTTTAATTTTTATTAGTGAGACACCATGAGGTACAGTTGTAGACTTACAAATTTTGTGCTTGAGTTTCAATTATACAATGATCAAATACCCATCTCTCTTAGGGAATGGGGCAAGGCAGAGGCGTCCTCAAGCAGCTGGCAGTGAATTATGCTCTGTGGAGAGAGAGTCTCTCCTAATTTTTGGATTGTGGTAATGATTTGAATGAGGCATTGCTTTTAAGGGATTATACCTCAGTGCCCAACACATGGTAAAGTGCTCAATAAATAGGAGTGGTTAGCTATTCTTAATTTAGTTTAGAGGACTAAGGTTTAAAGAATACAGGTTTTTCTTAGGGCTCTAGTGTCATTAGGATGACTCAAGGATGGAATGAGCAAAACTGGAGAGCCTGTTCTTCCAGGAGGCCTGCTGGGATCTTGAGTTATGGGACAGATGTGCTCATCCCTGCTGGGGCTCAGTGGTGCTGTAGCCCCTTCTTCTTCTTCTGTATATCTTCTATAATGTACCAGCTGGAAAGTCTTGTCAGGCAAGTCCATGCTCCATGATTCCTTTTGTCCTTTATAACTCTTATTTTATTTCACTGACCCCAGCCCTCCCCCGTGAATGCCTTCTTTGCAGTCCAGATGAATGGCTGTGGCTTTGATCAGTTCTGGAGGGAGACTGATTGTGAGGTACCTCTTTAGTCTTGACCAGGTTCACAGGATATTATGTTCCTCCCTTTCCTGGAAGGCTGGCTACAGAAGGTAGCCTGCCTAGATCTTAGTCCTTGGTGTATCACTCCCAGGTCCTTGTCAGGTTGACACATACTTCCTTTGTCTCATCTGTGCTGGTCTTAGAGGTATACCTTTTTTCCTTTTTTCTTTTTTGCTTTTTGGGTCACACCCGGCGATGATCAGTGGTTACTCCTGGATATGCACTCAGGAATCACTCCTGGCAGTGCTCCTGGGACCATATGGGATGCTGGGGATCGAACTGGGGTCAGCTGCATGCAAGGCAAATGCCCTACCCACTGTATTATTACTCTGGTCTCGGTGTACCTTTTTTTTTAACCCATTTTTGTGAAGACAACTGGCTGATCAGATCATATTGTCATATACTTGGGAGACTGAGAACTCTGTTACTTCCTTTTCTAGAAGAAGAATATATGTAGGGTACATATTACTTCCAGTGTCTGTGGCCATGCTCTGCTGTAGCTCCTGCCTTGTCATGTGGTGAGAAAACAGCATTGCAGGCATTGCAGACTTGTTTCTGCCTGAGCAGCCAATAGAATGCCTGCTGTCCATGGTGGGTCTCTGTGGGCACCACATGACTTGATCCCATTTTCAACAGTATCTTTTTTTCTCTAGCAACTAGGTGCAGTCACTGTTAGACTTCTGGATATCCTAGGGTAGAGATGTGAAGTGCTGTTTCGGCTAGAGCTGGCCTAGCTTAGCTTGCCATGGTTTGAAGCCACCAGTTTCTTTCTGAGGAAGATGATGCCTTTGTCCTAACTCTCAACTTCTCTTTGGACAGGTTGGACATTAACACCAACACCTACACATCTCAGGACCTCAAGAGTGCGCTTGCAAGGTTCAAGGAGGGGACACAGATGGGGAGTTCAAAGGAAGACAAGGTATGTGATACCCTCTCTAGAAGGTTAACATATGAATGACCAAGTATGTCTGGATCCCTGTCCTTGTCCTTGAAACATGGAGCTAATGTATTTCTACTCCAAGAGGCTGGCTAAGGTTTCCTCCAGTCCTATTCTCTACCAGCCAAGAAAATGCAGGAAGAAGAGGTAGAATGAGAGCCCTTGACTCTGTCCCTAGTGTCTGGGAAGACTCCTACATACAGACCTTCACTAGAAAAAAAATCTTGCTCTTAAATGGCTGCTGAGATTGCATAATGGCTGGAGAATGTTGCAAATCACTTTTGACATTTTTTTCTGTTGACTCTGAAAGGGCCTCTCGAATAATTGCCTTGGAAATCATTTTGAGTTGCCCTCCTTTTTCTCTTTAGCAGTGCAGGCATGATGGTTTTGTGCTCGGTCCTGCTAGGGCTATACCCAGCAGTGTTGGGTGTCTGAAGTTAGGGGGTAAGGAAAAAGTGCATTCACCTCCTGGTGAAGGGGAGGTTGGCAGAGTGGAGCAGTGTGTGTCTATGGCAGAGACAAATATGTTCCTGTGGTCAGGGCTTAGGCTCATTACTGCCCATCCTGCCCTAACCTTGAGCTCCATGTATGATGATGGGACATAAAAGTTGACCCCGGGGCTAGAGAGATAGTACAGGGGTTAAGGGACTTGGTTTGCATGCAACCCATCTCTGTTTTATCTGTGTTACTGCATATGGCCCCCTTAGCACCACCCTGAGTTATTCATGAACACAGAGACAGGAGTTAGGTTTGAACACCACTAAGTGTGATTCCAAAACAAAAGCAAAAAAGTTGGCCCCTGTTCTATGTCTTCTCTGCAAATGTAAGAGCCATTGTACCCTCTCTGTCTTCTATTTAATGCCTGCTCCTGATGATTCTTTTTATGTAGAAGACGACAATGGTATACAATTTTTTTTAAATATTAAAGCAAGAGATAGTTTAAGTTTTTAGTTACTGAAGTTTGGTTTGGTTTGTTGGATTTCTTTTTCAATAATTAAAACTAATTTCTTCATCTTATAAGGGGACCCCAGTGTCAGGACTAAAATGCAAGATCCTGTGTTCTGATTGAATCAGCTTCCAGTTCTGAGACTTCTTCTGTGGAATTAGTTTGCTAACGCTTTCAGCAGGTGCTGGTGCTGGGTTCTGGGGTCTGTCTCCCTTGGTCACTGTCCTAACTGGACTCAGTAGCTCACTGCCTGTGCACTGAGACTGGCACATAAGTGGATGTGCAGACAGTTGGGGTTTCTTACACATCTCAGTTTCTGAGCTAGGATATCATTGAAGTTTTATGTTTTGTTTTTGTTTAGAGTCCAAATCTGGCAATGCTTAGGGGTTATGCTTGGCTCTGTACTCAGGAATCACTCTTGGCAGTGCTTGGGGGACCATATAGGATGCCAGGAATCAAACCCAGGTCATCTGCATGCAAGTCAAACACCCTACTTGCTGTACTATTGCTCCAGCCCCACTGAACTTTAAAAAAAAAGTCATTTGTTTAGTGGTAAGCCTGGCATTACTCAGGGCTTACTCCTGGTCTGTGTTCAGGGATCACTTCTTAATGGACTAAGGGGATCTTACAGGGTGCCAGAAATCAAACCCAGGTTGACCATGTGCAAAGCAGGTACCCTACCTGCCATACTATCTCTCTGGACCCTATCACTGAGTTTTTTTTTTAATTAAAAATTTTTTAATAGTGAGACATCATGAGGTACAGTTGCAGACTTACACATTTTTGTGCTTGGGTTTCAATTATACAATGATCAAATACCCATCCCTCCACCAGTGCCCATTTCCCACCACCACGGATCCCAGTATTCCCTCCCACCCCCCATCCCCCCATCCCACCCAGCCTCTGTGGCAGGGCATTCCCTTTTGTTCTCTCTCTCTTATTGGGTGTTGTGGTTTGCAAAAGAGGCAATGGGTGTCAATCATGTTTAGTCTATAGTCTACTTTCTGCATGCTTCTCCTATCCTGGGAGGATCCTCCCAACACCTTTATTTGGTGTTCCCTTCTTTATCTGAGCTCCCTTTTCCCCTAGTATGTGTGGTTGGCCTCCAAGCCATGGAGTAAAATTCCTGGTACTAATCTCGGCCATTCTTGAGTGTTAGTCTCCTATTTTGTTACTTTTTGTTCCCCAGATGAATGCAATCTTTCTATGTCTATCCCTTTCTTTCTGAGTCATTTCGCTTAACATGATACTTTCCATGTAGTACCACTTGTATGTAAATTTCGTGACTTCATCTTTTCTAACAGCTACATAGTACTCCATTGTATCACTGAGTTTTTAACCCACATTTAAACCTTGTTTAGTTGCTTTTAAGTACAGCATGGTGATTTTGCTATTTATAGGACAAGACTAGGGATAAAGTTGTAGTTTTGTGATAGAACACATATGAAGCATGCATGAGACTTTGTGTCCAACTCCCAGTAGCCCCAGTGTTGAAAAAAGATACGAAGACAAGACTCAGATATTCAACCATATCCTATCAATGGAGTGAATAGTCTTTTTGAACTTATTTTGGGGAAAGGCATCAGTTTCATTCGTTGGTGTCTTTTTTTTTTATAAATGTATTTATTGAATCATCATGAGAGCAGTTAAAAAGCTTTCAGGTTTAAGTCTTGGTCATACAATGATGAAACACCGTTCCCTTCACCAGTGCACATTTTCCACCACCAAAAATCCCAGTATACCCCCCATCCCACACCCTCCCCTTACCTGTGTGGCAGATGATTTCCACATTATTCTCTCTCTACTTTGATTATGTTCAATTTTTCAACACCAGACCCACCATTATTATTTGGGATTTTACCCCAACACTCAGATCTGCCGAAAAGTCAACTTTAGACAATTTGTTTTCTGTTGCTGATTATGAATAGCATATGATGTCGTGCAACCACAGTAGCAGCCGCGTGATTTTGAAATTCTGAAATTTTAATAATTAAATCTGGAGGGATTTCTGCCAAAAGCCGCTGGGTTCTGAGATTTGTTTCTGAGTCTCTGGGATCGTGGCCATTAAGCAGCAGGTTGATCAGAAGCCAGAGAGGCCATCTGTGGGCAGCAACTTGGGGTCTCATTGGGTCAGGGGAGGAGGGAAAGAACTGGCTCCACCCCTATTCCATGAGGCTCCATGTGTCTTGTCACTGGGGGACCACTACCTGGCTGTCCATTGGCCTCTGGAAGATGGCAGACCTTGGGCCGCCAGGGGGAACAGGTGGTGGATTGGCACCTTTTCCCACCTGGGTGGCCCTGAGGCTGGTAACCTAATGCAGAGTCTGAATGCATTTCTGCCAAAAGCCACTGAGTTCTGAGATTTGTTTCTGAGTCTCTGGGATCATGGCTGTTAAGCAGCAGCTTGATCAGGAGCCAGAGGGCCGTTTGTGGGTGGCGACTCTCATTGGTGTCTTTGTACATAAATCTATTCTTCCCATAATCCCTTCTTCATGGAAAAGTTCTGTCTCACTCAGCAGATTTTCATCATTGCTATTGAAACTAGTTCTTCTGTGCCTCTGTTATCTTACAAATTGATGCTTTATGTTTCTTATGTCAACTGTTCACTGTACCTTACAAATGATTACATTTAAAAATGTGATCTTAAACTTTTGATTTTGGATAAGATAAAGTTGACTCCTCTCTTTTTATTTCTCCCAAGCACAACTAAAAACCCTGGTCATAGCATTAAAAGGAGACACAGAAGACTCTAAAAGGTGGAAAGAAAGCAGATTGGAGGGGATCTTGGAACTTGAGGAGTGACATGGCAGAGAAGCCCTGGAAATGTTAATGGGTAGATGTAGAGGGAGAGTCCTAAGAAAAAATCTGCTTTTTCTTGCGAAAAGAATTTAGCACAGGGCAGTCCAGAAGGAGAAAACTGTCTTTTGGGTATGTGTCTGGGGATGGGGGGGTGTGGGTGTTGGGCCACACCCAGCGATTGTGGGGGTTACTCCTGGCTCTGCACTTAGCAATTACTCCTGGCAGTCTTCAAAAGACCATATGCGATGCTGAGGATCAAACCCAGGTCTTCCACATACAAGGGAAATGCCCTACCCACTATACTGTCACTCTGGCCCTGGAGAAAACCTTTTTTGATAATGCTTGTCCTGCTTTAGTCAGAGACCATAAAGATCCCTCCCTCCCCCATAGTGCCAATGGAGATTTGGATTCCCATGTCCTGGGTGGTAGGAAACTGCACTCTGCTCTTCCCTGTACTGGTAACACATGTGGAATAGGGATCCTAGAACTTGTGCTCTGTTCTGGTGACCTTGACAGTAGGCATTTTTGTTGGCCAAGGTCCGATCCAATGGAGAAATGAGTTGAGAGCATGAATTTCTCCTGCCTTCTGCCCAGTGACAGGAATCTATTCTCTGCTTCCTCTGCTGATGTGATTTCAGCAGAAACCAGTTTGGAGCCCCTGTCCACTTGCCATGTGAGGGTGCCGGCTGTTGGTGCAGGCTGTTGGTGCACCCAGGTGGCGTACCCAGGTGGCTTGGACTTTTCCCAACTGAAGTGACATTAGTGTTGGTGGCTGAAGAATCTTTACTTCTGCCCTCCACCTGATGACTGGGAATTAATGTGGGGAGACATGGGCTGGGACTTCTACCCCTGACCAGCAGCAGTGAGCCAGTGCTTCCGGCCTGACAGGGTGCTGTCAGTTCAGGCCAAGGAAGGACTTCCGCTCCCAGTGGCCTCTTCTGGCAGTTCAGACATGCCCTTCCTCCTCCTAACCAGAGAGTGGTGGAAAATTTTAGAAGAGCTGGTGAAAGGAATTTTTCAAATGAACTCTTGAGTGATCATGTACTCCTAAGAATTAATACAGTGAAAAATTTGAGAACTGTTCTCTGGTGTGGAATATTATGGCCCAGACTTTTATGCTCTCTTTTCTCTTTTACTTTATTGGGTTCTCTCTCTCTCATTCTTACTCTGGGGACCACCCAGTGATGTAGGAACCAATGGAACTTGTCCCAGAGGTGCTAAGTTAGAGGGGGCATGT